GGCTTTTTTCTTTTTGCTTATGTGGTGCTGAGGAATCGAACCCAGGGCTTCATGCATGCAAGGCAAGTGCTCTACCACTGAGCCACCTTCCCAGCCCTCCCTGAGCTTTTTTGCTTAAGGCTATCACTCTGCTAGTGAAGCCACAGTTGTATTTCTGGCTTTTTGGTGGTTAATTGGAGATAAGAATCTCATGGACTTCCTTGCATGAGCAGGCTTCCAACTTGATCCTCAGATCTTACCCTCCAAACTCAGCCTCCTAAATAGCTGGAATTAGAGGAATGAGGCACCAGTGCTCAGCCTGATAGAATTATTACTCAGCTTATTTCAAGTTCCAAAATATTATGACTAGCCTTTGGTCACTAAACAGCAAAAGTTATATTCTTTTAAGCTAACAACAATTATTTCTTTTAAGCTAACTAGGAAGCTTTTCACATTTAAAGTTAGCTGTAGAGTAGAAATCTAGTCCTCCTTTTTCAGATTAATGCTTCAAGACTTCTGCCTGGTAACACTTTTTCTATATGGATTAAAAATCATTTGTCATCCCTAATGTAATTGAATTCACATGTATGTTATCAAGTAAAAGGTCACTTTCTCCTGTTTTTGTTTTTTTTTGTTCGTCATGAGGCTTGAACTCTGGGCTTGGGCGCTGTCCTTGCGCTCTTCAGCTCAAGGCGATCTCTCTACCACTTGAGCCACAGCACCACTTCCAGTTTTTAGTGGTTTATTAGAGATAAGAGTCTCACAGACTTTCCTGCCTGGGCTGGCTTTGAACTGAGATCCTCATATCTCAGCCTCCTGAGTAGCTAGGATTACAGGCGTGAGCCACCATCGCCCAGCTATGTTTTAGAAGAGCAGTGTTATCTTCATAAATTGCTCACTTATTTTTTTTAACATGTTTGTTTGAATGAAGCTCTGCCTTTATGTGGTAGAAACTACTTTTCATATAATAATGTTTTTCCTCTCTTTTAGGATATTTTCTTTTCTGGATGTTGTTACTTTGTGTCGCTGTGCTCAGGTCTCTAGGGTAAGAATGGTTGACATGGTTACCAGGGGATCTCTTCCTGACACTGAGAATGACAGCCTATACAGCAGGCTAACCATTTATTTTACATGCTATCTTTGTATGTTATTATGTATCAAAGGATGCTGTTTTACTCATGGTACATCCATCCCCTGTAATACTGTAGGATTCTGCTATACATACTGTCTCTAACATTTTGTGACTCCTATTGGCATAATATAAACAGAGGAACCATTTTAAGTTAGAAAAAAAACATTGACAATGCAAATTATAAGGCCAGACTTAGATTTAAAAAAAAAAGCCAGAAACATAAAAAACACATTTTAATTTTTTTGAGTGTTTGCCAGTCTTGGGGCTTGAACCCAGGGTCTGGACACTGTCTCTGAGCTTTTTAATGGTCAAGGCTAGTATTCTACCACTTTGCCACAGTTCCACTTAAGTAATTTTTGGGTACTTAATTATAAATAAGAGACTCATGGAGTTTCCTGCCTGGGCTGGCTTGAAACCACAACCCTCAGATCTCAGCCTCCTGAGTAACTAGGATTATACTAGCACACAACCAGGACAGCTTCTTTTAATGTTTTAGTGAGACTGCCAGAGAGAATAGGGACAGGGAGGGGAAAAGAAGGAAATCAATTAAAGTAGATTGAAAGTTAGGTGCTAGGGAAGTTTTTGATCCTTTAAAATCATTGATTAGATGAATTGTGAACTTGAATATTACTGGTTTTTCTCTTCATTTTAGCTTCTGCTCATTCTATCTTTCTTCAAAATAGGCCTGGAATGTTCTGGCCTTGGATGGCAGTAACTGGCAGCGAATTGACCTGTTTGATTTCCAGAGGGATATTGAGGTATAATTATGTTCTGTGTGGCCCCATTTCTCTTGCTAATAATTACAGTATGGAACAGATTAGGCCTGGCCATATAAATCTTATTTTCCTTGGAGAGAGAAATTTTTTTTTAGTACTTCTAAACTTTATGGATGAGTTTCTTTATTTTTTCTTTGAGGTTAAGTGGAATTATTTCACTGAAAAAAAATGCTACACTTTTTTTTTGATTTGGGGGTTTTTGTGTTTTTTGCCATGGAAATGTGAACCTGCATTTTGTAGTTTTTCTTTTTAAGAGAGCCATTTTATAATTGTTTATTAAAAATAAGTAGTTATGGGCTGGGAAGGTGGCTCAGTGGTAGAGCGCTTGCCTTGTATGCCTGAGGCCCTGGGTTCGATTCCTCAGCACCACATAAGTAAAAAGAAAAAAGCCGGAAGTGGTGCTGTGGCTCAAGTGGTAGAGCGCTGGCCTTGAGCTGAAGAGCTAAGGGACAGTGCCCAGGCCCAGAGTTCAGGCCCCAGGACCGGACCCAATAAATAAATATAAAAAATAAGTAGTTAAGTTTGTTTGGGTGATAATTGTGTGTGTGTGTGTGTGTGTGTTGTGTGTGTGTGTGTGTGTGTTTTGGTGGTGGTGGTTATGGGGCTTGAACTCTGAGCCTGGGTACTGTCCCTGAGTTCTTCAGCTCAAGGCTAGCACTCTACCACTTGAGCCACAATGCCACTTCCGATTTTCTGGTAGTTTATTAGAGCTGAGAGTCTCATGGACTTTCCTGCCTGGGCTTTGAACCACAGTCCTCAGATCTCAGCCTCCTGAGTAGCTAGGGTTACAGGCAGGAGCCCCCTGTGCCTGGCAAATATATTAGTCTTAAAAGCATTTTCATTCTTGGGAAAACAAAGATGCAGTTAAGTTTTGGAGAAAAATTAAAGAAGAATAAAACAAAAAATCAAATTTTCAATTGCTAAAGAGAATTTTTTTTCTTTCCTTTCACTCACCCTTTCCCCCATTTCCTCTTTTAGTATAACTCATTATCTTTAAAGTAGAAAGCATAATGGCTTAAGCTCAAACTATTTTAACCTGAAGTTAAACTCTTGGATTCTTAGCTCTAGTCATGAGAATGAAAACATGGCTTCTTCATAGTGTTGGAAGGACTAGATGAGAAGCTTTTAAGTTTCAGCAAAAACAAATTATTTTGATGCTCAATGGAAGGAATTTTGTAACCTCAGGTGAACTTTACATTATTTTCAGAAGGTACATTTCAAATAGTACTCCCAGACATTATGTTCGATTTTGTTTTACCAAAATTTTCTGGTCTACATAATATGCTTGTTTAAAACATATGCCCACAGAATCATTCATCAGGTTTGAGTCCCTGTTGTATGCAGAGTACTCACAGAGCCATAATAGAACTCGAGAGTACCATTCCTCCAGTACATATTACATAAGTTATATATGTAAATATGCATTATATTATATATAAGTATGTTCCTCAAGTACAAATTAAAAAAATAAGAATATAGAATTTAAGCATGTTTCAAGTAGATGAGTTAATCAGGAAAGCTTTATTGTAATAAGTTATATTTTTCCTACTTAAGTCTTTGGTACAAGTAGAAGCAGTCTTTTCTCTCTGTTTAAAACTTGTTAGAAACATATATTTTTTGCAAAAACAGTGAGGTGAATTATCTTTTTGCTTGCCTGTCTCTTTTTATAGGGCCGGGTAGTGGAGAATATTTCAAAACGATGTGGGGGCTTTTTACGAAAGTTGAGCCTACGTGGGTGTCTTGGAGTTGGAGACAATGCATTAAGGTAAAAACATAACTGTTTGAAAAATAACAGTTGATTAACCTCTTTGAGGAGAACAGTTCATCTCATCTGGAAAAGTCTAAACCATTTTTAAATTTCTAAGTTGTTAAAAATGCAAAAGTATATACTTTGTTTACAACACAAAGATTAATTGATAATAGGCAATTTTGTAAGAAGATTGTATGTATACCTGTAATCTCAGCAATGAGGCAGGAGTTTGAGGCCAATGGGAGTTATGTAGTGAGACCCTTCTCTAAAGAAGAAACAAAGGGCTAAGGTGTGGCTCTAGTGATGAGTACCTGCCTAGCCGGAGTTCAGACTACAGGACTACAAATAAATAGGTGTTGGTAGAGTGCTGCCAGTGTGCAAAAGCAGTTGGTACTAAGTTTGAGTCCCAATCTCAGACCTAAAAAAAAAAAAAAAAAAAAAAAAACAAGAAAACAAGAACAAACCTTTCCCTCAAAATTACCACCAGGCACCAGGGGCTCATGCCTATAATCCTAGCTACACAAGAGGCTGATATTTAAGGATCACAGTTTGAAACCAGCCTGGGTTGGAAAGTCTGTGAGACACTTATCTACAATTAAGCACCCAAATAGCCATAAATGGGCGTGTGACTCAAGTTTCAAATGGTAATGTGCACCAGGTGCCTGTGGCTCACATCTGTAATCCTAGCTACTCAGAAAGCTGAGATCTGAGGATCATGGTTCAAAGCCAGCCCAGGCAGGAAAGTCTGAAAGATTCTTATCTCCAATAAACCACTGAGAAAACCAGAAGTGGTGTGGCTCAAGTAGTAGAGCACTAACCTTGAGCTGAAGAGCTGAGGGACAGTGCCCAGGCCCAGAGTTCAAGCCCCAGAAGTAACAACAACAACTAGCCTTGAGCTAGCCTTGAGCAACAAGGCTCAAGAACAGCACTGAGGCCCTCAATTCAAGCTCCTAGACTAACATCCCCCCCAAAAAAAATTACCCATCACAAATAGTTTTTTTGAGCCAGGTGCCGGTGGCTCAAGCCTGTAATCCCAGCTATTCAGGAGGCTGAGATCTGAGGATCGATGTTCAAAGCCAGCCCGGGCAGGAAAGTCCATGAGACTCTTATCTCCAATAAACCACCAGAAAACCGGAAGTGGCACTGTAGCTCAAGTGGTAGAGCACACTAGCCTTGAGCTGAAGAGCTGAGGGACAGCGCTCAGGCCCAGAGTTCTAGCCTCACAACTGACCAAAAAAAAAAAAAAATAAAAGTTCTTTCTTTGGAGTTTTATTTGTTTATGAACTTTTTGAGGGGGTAGGGTGCTAGTACGGGAGCATGATTGCAGGACCTTTTACTCTCACTTTGCTTTTTTGCTTGTGTCTGGTACTCTACCATGCTTCCCTCCACTTTCTGCTCTTTGCTGGTTAATTGGAGATAAGGATCTCTCAGATTTGTCTGCCCTGGGTTGGCTCCAAACCTTGATCCTCAGGTGTCAGCCTAAATAGCAAAAATTATAGGTGTAAACCACTGGCACTTGGCTTTTTATTTTTTATGTCTGGTATTTTGCCTGCATATTTGAAATTTTTTTACTTTTTTTCTTTCCTATAAAGGACCTTTGCACAAAACTGTAGGAACATTGAAGTACTAAATCTTAATGGGTGTACAAAGACTACAGATGCGTAAGTATTGTATCTTTTAAAAGGGTAAGTCATGGGCAATATATCTGGTCTATAATAACCTCAATTGTAAGTTAATAAATTTAGCAACCTTAATCTTAGTTTATGGAGGAACCATTTTAGGAGAAAATGATAGGAACGTAGAATTGGAATGAAAAAGTTACTTTGAAATCCATTCTTAAATATTGATAGTGAACTTTAAAAAAAAATCCACTGGGCAAGCTAGACACTGGTGGCTCAGGCATGTAATCCTAGATACTCAGGAGGCTGAGATCTGAGGATCACGGTTCAAAGCCAGCCTGGGCAGGAAAAGCCATGAGACTCTTATTGCCAGTTGACCTCCAAAAAGTCAAAAGTGGAGCCATGGCTCAAGTGGTAGAGTGCTAGCCTTGAGCAAGGACAATGCCTAGGCCCTGAGTTCAAGCCTCAGGAGCTACAAAAAGAATGAAAAAACTTATAAGGTTAGGAGAGTAGAAAACACAAAGTGACAGGGATGAAAGTGATTATTCTGAAGCACAATAGTAGTTCCCCCATGTTTTCAGTTTTCTTTTCCATAATCAAATGATTGTGAAATACGAAATGGGATATTCCAAAAATAAACAACTCAGAAATTTAACTCTTCTCACAATATGTTATTATGATTGTGTAATTTTATTATGTTGTTAATTTTTTACCATGCCTAATTTTCAAATTAAACTTTATTACAAGTAGGTATGTAATATAGCATTAGTAAGATTTGGTACTGTTTATGGTTTGAGGCATCTGCTGAGGAGGGTAGTCTTTGAACCAATGTTTCTCACATTTTCCTGCTTGTTTACATGTCGTGTTTTTGTTGTTTTTATTTATTTGTTAGTGGTATTGAAATTTGAACTTAGTCCCTCTTGCTTGCTTGGTATGCATTCTACCCCTGAGTCATGTCTCTAGCCCTGTCTTCTTTGGTTTTCACTGAAAGTGAGATATTCTGTATACTATGTTATTTAATTATCTTTTATTTTTGTCTTCCTTATAGGAGTGGGGAACAGATAGGCCACAGGCCATAAAAATCTCTCAAAATTATTTGACACATGGGGCTGGGATGTGTCTCAGTGGTAGAGTACTTGCCTAGCATGCATGAAGCCATGGGTTCTATTCCTCAGTATCACAAACATAGAATAAGCCTGAAGTGGCAACTGTGGTTCAAGTGGTAGAGTGCTAGCTTTGAGCAAAAGAAGCTCAGGGTCAGCACCCAGGCCCTGAATTCACAAGCCCCAGGACTTGCAAAAAAAAAAAGTTTTTTTTGACACATGACATAACACACAAACATGCTTCTTGTGAGCTGCCCATACCTATCTGCCAGTATTGAAAAGTTTTTTGTACACCCGATAAATGATGTTCCATATACCCAAATGGCCCTGAGCAGAATAAAGTTCCCATCCCTGCAAGGATAAGAGGAAACCACTGTATTATGTTTTATGCTTTTATTTTAATAACACTGTAAAAGTTTTACATAATTAAAACATAAAAATTAAGATTCCCTAAAAATTGAAAACAAAATAAAATACATGTTGGAGCTTTAACGCTAAGAAATTTATAACCATAAGAAATTACTTCTAATGACTTTTTTCTTATGAAAATTTTAAATATATATAGAACTATATCAAATAATATAATAAACTCTTTACCAAGTTCCAGGTATTGTCAGTCTATGGCCACTATAGTTCCATCTATAACCCCACCTACTTATCCCCTCTCATTTTGTTCCTTTTTTTTTTTTTTTGGTCCATCATGGGGCTTGAACTCTGGGCCTGGGTGCTGTCCCTGAGCTATTCAGCTCAAGGGGAGCACTCTACCACTTGAACCACAGCATTATTTCCAGTTTTCTGGTGGTTAATTGGGGATAAGAGTCTCATGGACTTTTCTGCTTAGGCTGGCTTTGACCCATGATTCTCAGATCTCAGCCTCCTGAGTAGCTAGGATTACAGGTCTGAGCCACCAACATTGGCATTGTGTTACTTTTTTGTTGTTGTTGGTCGTGGGGCTTGAACTCAGGGCTTGGGTGCTGTCCCTCAGCTCTTCAGCTCAAGGCGAGCACTCTACTGCTTGAGCACAGCACCACTTCCTGTGTTACTTTTTTAAAAGAAAAATATTGCCCTGCACCAGTGACTCTTGCCTATAATCCTAGATACTCAGGAGCCTGAGATCTGAGAGCCCAGCCTAAGCAGGAAAGTGCCATGAGATGCTTATCTCCAATTAACCACCAGAAAACTGGAAGTGGCGCTGTGGCTCAAGTGGTAGAGCACTCCCCTTGAGCTGAAGAGCTGAGGGACAGCACCCAGCCCCAGAATTCAAGCCCCACAACCAAAAAAAAATGATGGTGGACAGTGTATATGTCACAGGACTGAAAAATAAATGGCATGAGCCATAAAAAGAAAGCCTGGAGGGGCTGGGAAAATGGCTCAGTGGTAGAGTGCTTGCCTTGCTTGCATGAGGCCCTGGGTTCGATTCCTCAGCACCACATAAGCAGAAAAAGCTGGAGGTGGCACTGTGGCTCAAGTGGTAGAGCACTAGCCTTGAGCTGAAGAGCTGAGGGACAGTGCCCAGGCCCAGAGTTCAGGCCCCACAACCAGCAAAAAAAAAAAGAAGAGGAGGAAAGCCTGGAAGCACTTATAAAGCAGAGTTGTAGGGTTTGGAGGCATGGCTCAATTAATAGATGCTAGCCAATGAGTGAAAGCATCAGGTACCTAGTTCAAGTCCCAGTCTTGGAACTAAAAGCAAACAGTGTTGTAAAAAGGAGCCTAATGGACTCCAGTGGCTCACAACTATAATGTTACCTATGCAGGAGGCTGAAATCTGAGAATTATATGTGGTGGAACAGCCCAGTCAAGAAAGTCCATGAAACTCTTCCAATTACCTACTTAAAAAGCTGGAAGTAGTGTTGTGGCTCAAGTGGTAGAGCATTTAAGCAAAAAGCTCAAGAAAGGCAATTAAGCCCTGACAGAGGTCAAGCCTCAGGACCAGCATTTAAATAACAAACAAAAAACCCAAGCAGTATACCAAAATCTTGGTAATTTGAAGAGAATAAAAAGAGTGAAGAGAAACTAAAGTAGCTGAAATCGTAGCAAGAAGGGAACTACTCGAAAACAATTATAAACATGTACCTGGATCTGGCTAGGTATCACATTGTATATGCACGGTTTGAGAATACCACAAAGCTTAGTATATATATGAAGAAAAAATTATCAGGAAACTATAAGCTGAAAAAGTATTAGATGGAAAAGTTGTAACCACTCAAAACAAATCCTTTGTTATTGTTATTGTTGTTGTTGTTGTGGGACTTGAACTCTGGGCCTGGGAGCTGTCCCTGAGCTCTTCAGCTCAAGGCTAGCACTCTACCACTTGAGCCACAGCACCACTTCCAGTTTTCTGAGTGGTTCATTGGAGATAAGAATATCATGCACTGGGGCTGGGAAGGTGGCTCAGTGGTAGAGCGCTAGCCTTGAGCTGAAGAGCTGAGGGACAGTGCCCAGGCCCAGAGTTCAGGCCCCACAACCAGACCCCCCCCAAAAAAAAAACAAAAAAACAAAGGCTAGGGCTGGGAAGGTGGCTCAGTGGTAGAGCGCCTGCCTTGCATGCATGAGGCCCTGGGTTCCATTCCTCAGCACCACATACGCAAAAAAAAAAAAAAAAAAGACGGAAGTGGCACTATGGCTCAAGTGGTAGAGCGCTAGCCTTGAGCTGAAGAGCTGAGGGACAGCACCCAGGCTCAGAGTTCAGGCCCCACGACTGGGCCAAAAAAAAAAAAAAAAAGAATATCATGCACTTTCCTGCCCAGGCTTGTTTTGAACCCTAATTCTCTGATCTCTCAGCCTCCTGAGTAGCTAGCATTATAGGCATGAGCCACCAGCACCTGGCCAAAAACCACTAACTCATCTAAATAAACAAAGTAGGTCCAGAACTAGAAGAGACAGGCAATAGAAACGGACCCAGGACTATCGATATTGCTCAGTGGTATAATACTTGCCAAACATTACCAAAACCCAGAGTTGTATTCCTACCCCTTCCAAGAAAATCCTACAAATTAATATATACTTTATAATTCTACTTATTTTAAATTCTTTTTTTTTTCATCAGTTGTGGGGCTTGAACATTGGGCCTGGATGCTGCCCCTGAGCTCTTCAGCTCAAGGCGAGCCCTCTGGCTCTTGAGCCACAGCACTACTTCTGATTTTCTGGTGGTTGATTGAAGATGAGAGTCTCATGGACATTCCTGCCCAGGCTGGCTTTGAACCACAATCCTCAGATCTCAGCCACCTGAGTAGATAGGATTGCAAGCGTGAGCCACTGGCGCCCAGCTTTGAAATTCTTTAATAGGAAATTATAGCGATAATAAAGCAGATCATTAGTGGCTTGCAACAGAAGGAGGAAGGGGTGAAATGCATGTACTGGTAATGGTAGACAGGGACATTTTGAAGAGTTGTAATAATCTTTCTACATTGCCAGGCATGATGGCATCTAGCTATGATCCTTATAATTTTGCTTAAACAGAATTGCAAGTTCTGAGCTATCTTACCAAATTTCAGACCAGCAGGTTCATAGCAAAAAACCTCTATCAAATTTTCTGTATTTCTCTTGGACTGATAGTCTTAAGGGGGTGTACATTTGAAAAACTTAATTGGCTTGTACACTTAAACAAATAGATTTTATTGTGCATGATATATACTTCACAATTAATTTTAAAATAATACACATTTTTCAGCTTTCTATGACCACCCCAAAACTTAAGAAGAACAGCAGTCATTGAGGGATTTCTAGCATGTGGGAAAGAAGATATCAGCACATTCTCTCACAGCAACTATAAAGATGAAAAAAATGGTCAGAACAACTTTCTGAAAAGAAAAAGACACAAAACAAACAAGTATTTACTAATGAGAGCTACTGTTCTTCAGTAAGAACAGTGTGAGTCTGTGAAATTCTTGCGGCTCCTTCTCCTGTCCTCACCCACTCCCCACCCCCGGCGCTTGCTCTGAATAGTTCATTAGAACAGGCAAGCAGGCTGTAAAAAACCATCAGCTTTGGAGCTAATGCTATAGAATAGAAGTCTAGTACTTTCTTGGGCTAAATACTAAGCTGTAAAAACAGGGTTGACATTAGAATCCCATATTTAAAACTAAAACCAAAGGTTAGAAGTGTAACTTAACTAGTAGAGCACTTGTAGGCCCCAAATTGAAACATGGTCATAAATACAGTTTTCCATCTAATACAATTATTGAAAAAAGAAACAGTAAAACTTAGGGAGAAGTAGAATTTAGTCATTAGGGAGAAAGAACCCAAGTAGAAATTCAGGGGTTGGAAATATACAATTGAAGGATTCACTAGCAATCTCAGTAATGGGTCAGAAAGCAAAATGATAACCAGTAAACTCAAAAATAGATTCATAGAAATTATCCACTCTGAGCTGGACTCCTCCAATGCCTCACATCTTTTTTTTTTTTTGTCGGTTGTGGGGCCTGAACTCTTGAGTCTGGGCACTGTCCCTCAGCTCTCCAGCTCTGCCACTTGAGCCACAGCACCAAATGCCTCACATCTTTTATTTATTTTTTTTTAGGGGGGTCCGGTCGTGGGGCCTGAACTCTGGGCCTGGGCACTGTCCCTCAGCTCTTCAGCTCAAAGCTAGCGCTCTACCACTTGAGCGACAACGCCACTTCCGGCTTTTTTCTTTTTGCTTATGTGGTGCTGAGGAATTGAACCCAGGGCCTCAGGCATGCAAGGCAAGCACTCTACCACTGAGCCACCT